TAAATAATTTCTAATCGAACCGAATACCAAATTGTTGTTGGATTAATTAAAGTTTAATTGAATTAGAAAAAATTTAATAGATAATGAAAAATAAATAGAAAAATAAAAATGAAGAATAAAAAAAAAGGGGAAGAATAAGAAGAATAATAAGAATTAGTTAGCAAGCGGTTAGTTTGATGCTAAAAAGCCGGTCAATTGGATGAGGGAGGATGTGTTATCACTATTGGTCGTCACCAACGTTTGACTTCATCCAGGCTCATAGTTTGACGACGTTGAACACGTTAAATCTCGTCGATAGGTCGGGGACCACCTCCACCACCTCCTCCACCACCTCCTCATCCTCCTCCTCATCCTCCAATTCCTCCACCACCTCATCCTCCTGATCTCTAACGTAATCTCGAGGGTTTTATTCAGTCAGATTTACGTCGCGTATACAACCAGTCGTATTACACTTGCTTTACTCTGCTAAAATACCTGCACCCGTGTATATGTATGTCTGCATATGTGTGTGTATATATGTGTGATCCACATGTGTGTATATTAAACCATTGACAAGGGTGTCTACCTTTCATTGTTTCGTTTCGTGTCGCGTTGTTCCACACATTTGGTTAAAAAAGAAAAATTAATTTTTTATTTATATATAACAAATATTTATTATTGATTATTATATTCATCGAGATTCTTAAAGAAACAAATTAATTTTTTTTTTTAATTTATATATACATTCGATTAATATTTAATAATTTATATCTTGTTTTACTTTTTTTCTTTTCTTTCTTGAAAATTATTTTCTTTCTCTCGTACCTCCTCCCTCCACCCCTTCTTTTATTGTTTTTACTTAAACAAGAAAAATGTGGATTCGTTCAACGTTACTCGTAATTTTAACAGGTAATTAAATAATTTACAAAAATATTAGAAAGTAATATTTAAATTTGATTAATGTAATAATATCTTCGTTGTTTCCTTTTTTTTTGTTTTTTAATCAATTGACACGTATCAACGACGTGGTTGTATTTTATTGTTTCTTTTTTTCTTTTTATTTAATTTTCTTCGGACACATAGGATAAGGATTACGAAGACAATCCTTTTTCCCATCACTTTCTTTTCTCTTTCTATCTCTCTTTCTTTCTTTTATTATCTATCTATTCATCTATCTATCTTTCCGATTAGGGGTGGCTTCGTTTAACTAGATTATTTTATTGTATTTTCTTTTTCCAATGGACACCCATTATAAATCCCATTGCAGTATTATACTTTTCGATAATAATTTTTTCGATTGGACGAGAAGAAAAATTAATTCTATTCCTTAAATAAAAAGAAAGAAAAATATTGTACAATTATTAATAAATATATTATGTTATTTTATTTTTTTTTTTCTTACGGATCATCGAAAATTATGACGAAAATTAATCTTATTCGTTGTATTCCCCCTTCTTCCTACCCCTAAAAAAAAAGAAATTGTACAATTATTATTATTCGATATATATAGAAATAAAAGAATAGTAAAATATATATATATAAACATTTTTTTATTTTTCGTACGATATCATCGAAAAACTATAAAAACTACGACGACGAATGATGATAATGATGATGATGATGAAACTAAAGATGACGAATCAGAAATAACTATAGATAATAAAATCTTGCCCCGATGATAAAAAGCGGAAGCGCGAATTATGTTCATTAAAATCTGCTGGCACTCGTTTGAACTATATTCGAAACTTAAATTATAATAATAATGTGTTATTATATCTGCAAAAGCGCCGGCGTTTATTTAACGTTATCCGATTGTACTTCAATCAGGATAGATGATAATCTTAATCGTAATCAATCGTTTAATTCTAGGAATCTTCTATCTCGTTTTATTCTCTTATTATTCTCATTATTATTATTATTATTATCCCGTATCAATGGTATAACGAAAAAAATGCGTACGTCTAATGTATTTTTCCCGCGATTGGCCAAATGAATCTGTGCTTAGGCCCAATGATCGGTCAATGAGGTCAATTCTCTTTCCTGTCGTTGTACATTCAATTACTTGTTCTCAGAGTTCATTGAATAAATGCACTATCAATGAATAAATATATTATATATAGTTTTTCTTTTTCATGTTGTGCACTGAAATTTGATTTCTTTTTAATTGAAACAAAGTTCATTTATTTTTTTAACACGTTGTAGATTCGATTACTTGTACACAGAATTCATTGAATAATTATGCACACTATCAATCAATAAATATATATATTTTTTTGTTCATGTTGTGCACAGAAATTTGATTTCTTTTTAATTGAAACAAAGTTCATTTATTTTTTTAACACGTTGTAGATACGAGTTCTTGTACAGAGAATTAATTGAATAATTATGCACTATCAATCAATAAATATATATATTTTTTTGTTCATGTTGCGCACAAAAATTTGATTTCTTTTTTAATTGAACAAAGTTGATTTATTTTTTTAACACGTTGTAGATACGAATTCTTGTACAGAGAATTCATTGAATAATTATGCACTATCAATCAATAAATATATATATTTGTTTGTTCATGTTGTGCACTGAAATTTGATTTCTT